CCGTATACTTTGAGCTTTATAAAGAAGTATCTGTATTTTTCACATCAGATTCACATATTGAAGCCAAAAGAACTACAAACAATGTGAATGGCAAGTGAACATGACTGTTTTGCACAAAGGATTGTTTGAATTCAAAAATTTTTTTGCTAAAGACAAAACTGTGATACAATCATATCTTATGCACCTACATTTATTGTATGTTAGTAAGAGAATAGTAATAATACTAAGAGAACTCAGGCATTTGAATTGATTAATGCACTTAATAAATGGACTGATATTCCTGTATGTACAATGCACTGATGTATTTTCCACATGCAGTACAAAAACAGCATTAAATACAACTTCACCAAGTGAAGAAATTCCCACATTCCCTTTTGACGGAGGATGTCTTAAAATGGCAACATCGAAATGTGTGGGTGGATAGATGTGTGGGCTAAAAATAGTACAGCAGAAATCGCCATAAATATTCATGAATGGGGGAAGAATGTGAGGCTACCTGCAGCTCTAAATATAGCGCTTCCGCTCGGATCCCTCGCACAGAGACGGGCTATTTATAGCAGCAGCTCTGCAGAAGCGCCTCGCTCTGACTGTGCACTGGGACCCATAGGAGACACAACATTAAAGATGAGGGACGGAAGCAGAAACCAAGTGAAAGCGACAGCCTCTGCCCCAAGCACAGGTATTTTTAGAGATGGATACGGTGTCCCCTCACACCAGAGCGTACAGTAGTGTGACTTAAAGATATGCGCCATGTATTTGTTTTCGTCCATTCAGAAGAATGCTGCTCTCTCTCTCTTTCTCTGTCTATATGTCTCTTGCTTCTGTATGCGGTCATATGAATGGGATGCACTGGGTCGATTATGTAATACAATGTTAGAGACGTCCGACTTGTCCTCGTGTGACATGCGGACATGCGATAGAGCTGGAGATTGTACTTATTTTAGCTGGACGAGCACTATATCTTTCAAACTCACATGCATTTTACAGGGTGGTTTGCACGTGTTCTAGATTCGAAGTTTTCAAATTGTAGTCCAGGGAGAAGTTCAGAAAAAATGGTGTAAAATTATATAATATTAATAATAATTAATAGTATTTTTAACCATTAAAGTGCATTTAATATAATAATTATTATATTAAATGCACTTTAATGGTTAAAAATACTATTAATTATTATTAATATTATATAATTTTACACCATTTTTTCTGAACTTCTCCCTGGACTACAATTTGAAAACTTCGAATCTAGAACACGTGCAAACCACCCTGTAAAATGCATGTGAGTTTGAAAGATATAGTGCTCGTCCAGCTAAAATAAGTACAATCTCCAGCTCTATCGCATGTCCGCATGTCACACGAGGACAAGTCGGACGTCTCTAACATTGTATTACATAATCGACCCAGTGCATCCCATTCATATGACCGCATACAGAAGCAAGAGACATATAGACAGAGAAAGAGAGAGAGAGCAGCATTCTTCTGAATGGACGAAAACAAATACATGGCGCATATCTTTAAGTCACACTACTGTACGCTCTGGTGTGAGGGGAACCATGAGCCACAGGAGGCATCCTATTCCCATTTTCCCACAGCACTACAAGCACAAAGACTGCTCACAAGGACCAGTTCATCTCACTGGTGGGACTGACCACTATTCAGTGATGCAGTTGTCGTAACAGTGTAAAGAAAGCCTGTTAAAGAAATAGTTGAAAATAAAAATAAAACCGTATACTTTGAGCTTTATAAAGAAGTATCTGTATTTTTCACATCAGATTCACATATTGAAGCCAAAAGAACTACAAACAATGTGAATGGCAAGTGAACATGACTGTTTTGCACAAAGGATTGTTTGAATTCAATTTTTTTTTTGCTAAAGACAAAACTGTGATACAATCATATCTTATGCACCTACATTTATTGTATGTTAGTAAGAGAATAGTAATAATACTAAGAGAACTCAGGCATTTGAATTGATTAATGCACTTAATAAATGGACTGATATTCCTGTATGTACAATGCACTGATGTATTTTCCACATGCAGTACAAAAACAGCATTAAATACAACTTCACCAAGTGAAGAAATTCCCACATTCCCTTTTGACGGAGGATGTCTTAAAATGGCAACATCGAAATGTGTGGGTGGATAGATGTGTGGGCTAAAAATAGTACAGCAGAAATCGCCATAAATATTCATGAATGGGGGAAGAATGTGAGGCTACCTGCAGCTCTAAATATAGCGCTTCCGCTCGGATCCCTCGCACAGAGACGGGCTATTTATAGCAGCAGCTCTGCAGAAGCGCCTCGCTCTGACTGTGCACTGGGACCCATAGGAGACACAACATTAAAGATGAGGGACGGAAGCAGAAACCAAGTGAAAGCGACAGCCTCTGCCCCAAGCACAGGTATTTTTAGAGATGGATACGGTGTCCCCTCACACCAGAGCGTACAGTAGTGTGACTTAAAGATATGCGCCATGTATTTGTTTTCGTCCATTCAGAAGAATGCTGCTCTCTCTCTCTTTCTCTGTCTATATGTCTCTTGCTTCTGTATGCGGTCATATGAATGGGATGCACTGGGTCGATTATGTAATACAATGTTAGAGACGTCCGACTTGTCCTCGTGTGACATGCGGACATGCGATAGAGCTGGAGATTGTACTTATTTTAGCTGGACGAGCACTATATCTTTCAAACTCACATGCATTTTACAGGGTGGTTTGCACGTGTTCTAGATTCGAAGTTTTCAAATTGTAGTCCAGGGAGAAGTTCAGAAAAAATGGTGTAAAATTATATAATATTAATAATAATTAATAGTATTTTTAACCATTAAAGTGCATTTAATATAATAATTATTATTATCATTATTGTTATTGAAAACAATTTCTTATAAATAGTTAATTATTAAATTATATATATATATATATGTACACACACAACACATATTTGTGGGGTGGGTGTGAAATATATTTCAAATTTGGCAAATTTATACATTTATTCTAATTGTAATTAATATTATATTTTAATAGACACTGATACATATGAAATATTTAGTATTTATTTTTAATAATAATTACTATTATTATTATGAATATATACTATTATATTAATATATATGAATTATATTACATTATAATTCTAATCAATATATTAACTATTTATTATATATTTATAAGAAATATTAAAGCCATTTTCTAGATGACCTGATATTATGTTCAAAGCACCTTTTAGAAATATTTAATATGCTCAAATGCTACGATCATGCAGATAAGAAGGTTAATAAAGCCTAATGCATGATAAACATAAACATAAAAAATAAAAACCTGAATATATGGTACATTTGGTCATAATTGAACTTGAGCAACATGAACTGCAGTATTACGTGTTGAACTAGAAAACAGAGGCTATAAATAGTGTTGTTTCCTTTATTGTATTATTGTTATTAATTTATGCAGTGCATTTCCTGCTCTCCCAAATATAGAAAACAATTGTCCATTGACTTGCAATGTTTTTCCACTCCTTCACGTTAACCTAATAACACACTGTTGATGAATACATTAGCAGTGGATCATTATCAAACAGACAGCGCATCAGAGGCAGGACTATTGATTCATATAATCACCAGATATTGTGTGATTCAATTCTGTGCCAGTTTGATTGGGAATTGACTTTACCTGAGGAGGATATTTTTAGGCTTCTCACATGCTTCCACGTCAATGAGCCGAGGCTATTTTTAACTTAGCATGCCTGCATCACATTGACCTTGAAAAACGCAGCTCATTCAGAGCTTTGCTGCCTCTGTGTCTCAGGAGGTCTTACCCACTCCACAAAACCTGAATCTGTCACTGAGATGGACAGTTTTACTGCACTCAGACTAGCTTAGAGGAGGATGACATCTCAAATGCATTTCTCTCATTCACCATGACAGACTTATTAGATATCTGTGTATGGAATAAGGTTGAAAGCAGTAGCTGTTTTGTCATTCTGTTGCGCTGTATACCGTGGCATTTAAAGGGATACTCCACTCAAAATGTGAAATTCTGTTATTATTTACTGACCCTTTATTCTGCAGGATGCAAAAGAATATGTTTGAAGAATGCTGGAACCCTTTCATCCTTTATCCACATTAGAGTCCACATTGAAAATATTGGATTAAAAACATGTACTTTATAGATAGAAAGTTTTCTATTTTAAAAATAAAATATATATTTAAAAATGTTTGTTATGATATAACATAACTGAAAAATATTAAATATTCTACTTGATTTCTAGGTTACAATACTATGTATATTTATGACATCGATCATGTGATTTAAATCATTTAAAGGGATAGTGATATATTATAGCAAAAATTTAGCCACCTCTTCAAGAGCGCTTTAAGAGTTTTATTGGTTATCATCTATAACATGAACATATTTTTAGTTTATCAGTATCATCCAGAATTTTAGTATTGGTGTACTCCTATTGGATAACATAATAGTCAGGTTTTACAAAAACTTGTGGAGTTCATGCAGTTTTGAGTGCACTCAACTTGTTATGATATATTATAATGTCATGTAAAAACTGTATTAAATTTAAAAAATAGTTTTGTTCACTAGTGGTCCCCACTTTATGTAAAGGTGTCACTTTTTCTTGAGTGATGTAGTGTTAGAGCTGCTGGCTTGGTATTAGTGAGGCACTGAAACATAATCCAGAGTTTGGAGTCATGCAGATCACAGAGACTGATATACTGTATGTCTAGCTCTGTCATATTAACCCGCAACGCTAGTGCTTACGTCTAGATTGATGCAGGAAGAGAGTATCTCGCTGTGCGTTTGTGTGTAACCATTTTTATCAAGGTCTCAGTGACCTTCTGCACTAGTTCAGGTCATTGACACAGGGTGTGCACTGCACATATAGAGACGCTGGGTACAGTTTATCTCATAGAATTGTCAAAAAAAAAATCATCCTAATAAAGTATCCAGGTGAATTGTATGAACCCTTTCTTTTTGTTTTTCTTTCCTCAGTTTTGATGTTGACAATGGGCTGTCGGTGGGCCGCAGTCCTCTGGAGTCCCAGGCCAGTCCAGGCTCCGGCCTTGTGCTGCAGGCCAATTTCCCTCACAGTCAGCGGCGGGAGTCCTTCCTGTATCGCTCCGATTCTGACTTTGACCTTTCACCCAAGGCCATGTCCCGAAACTCATCCACGGCCAGCGAGCTGTGAGTATCACTTGTGTCATTCATTATCCCCTAATATCACTCAGGAAATGTCAGGACTCTACATACTAAATGCATTTATGATGGCTTTTAATTCTTTAAATAATTTTTTTTTAAATAACAATTTTTTAAAATATATGTTATTTTTAATTTACACTACCTTTCAGAAGATTTGTTGAAAGATTTTTAAAAAATATTTTTTTAATATACATTTATTCAACAAGGCTCCATTACACCGATAAAAATACATTTATAAATGCCAGAAAAGATTTTTATAATGTTACAAAATAATAAAATAAAAATAAATAAATTTCAAATAAATGGTGTTCTTTTGAACTTCATCAAAGTATCCTGAACAAAATGTGTATTGCCATTTTCACAAAAATATTAAGCAGCACAACTGTTTTCAACATTGATAATAATAAGAAATGTTTTTTGAGCACCAAATCAGCATATTAGAATGATTTCTGAAGGATCATGTGACACTGAAGACTGGAGTAATGGTGCTGAAAATTCAGTTTTGCCATCACAGGAATAAATTACATTTTAAAAATTAATATGATGGAAAACTGTTATTTTATATTGTAATACTATTTCACATTATTACTGTTTTACTGTGTTTTTGATCACATAAATGCAGCCTTGCTGAGCATTAAGAGGCATAAAAAACATCCTACCGGCCCCAAATTTTTGAATGGTCACCAGTCTCAACCAGAAAAAAAAAAAGTAGTTTTCATGTGCATGTTGTTTGAGTCACGTGTTACAAGCTACACAAGTGTGTACTTGAGCTACAGTGTTTTGTGGCTGGAAGAGTTCTGTTAATTGGGACTGTAAATGTTTGCCTCATAACAGATGTGGCTTACTCCAGCTGGTTGATTATGTTTGAAACAAAGTTCTCCCAAGACACACTTTTTTAATAGTGTATTACATCAAATCATATTGCTCGGTCATTTTGGAAAATCCAAGGCGCTGGTTAAAAACTCCTTATTATTACCACTTCCAGCTGTTCTTTCCATCTGAGCACGCTTGCATGTCAGCTCTGGTTTGCCGGGATTTCAAGTCGGAAAAAGGGCACCACATTTTCTGCAGTTTATTTTTCCAGCCTGCGTCAAAGCCACTCGCCCAAATTGAAACACCTTGAGGCTGGTTTACACCACCCCAATAAGCACCAACAGGGTGAATACAACCACCTACAACTGCTGTTTGTTGGGCTGATGTAAACTAGTGTGCTCAATCACAGGTCACCAACTCTTGCTTATCTTTTCAAAGGGAAGAGAGTTTGAAGCACTGGGAAGTCAACTGGCTAAATCGGTGAGAAGATATAGAAAAATATTGACCTGCTCTTTAAAGGACTTTCCCCCATTTCTCCATTACAGATTCCAGGCTGGTTCTCTCCCCTAGACCAGTCTAACATCATAGCTTCCCCTGTTTACTCTTCGCCGCCATGAGCATTACTCATTCCATCAAAGAGGCTTTGGAATATATGAATAAAGATGCAATTCCCAATGTGTTCCCTAGTTCGGCTTCTCTCCCGCTGCTCCTAAAATACGTGCATGACACACCCAATCTGAGCCCATCTGTGTTCTTATTACGTATTTCCATAAGCTTTTAATGTAGGATATCTAATATCCCATTGGAGAATCTGCGGTACCTTCCTTATGCTGAGCTGTATTTCTTTATTTCCATCCAAACTGCATGTTAATCCAAAGTGTATTACTGCCCGCTTGCTCTTTTGAATGATGGTGTGCTGTAACCTGAAGCCGACCACATCCTTAAGTCCCCACAGTTAAACTCTTAGCCATTCGTTTTCACTGATCCTTAAGTCATTTTATGTGCCTCCTTTTATTATTGGGAGATTAAAGAGCTGTCTTTTCCAATATGTAATTTTTGTGTTTGATTTGTGAATTGTTAATGTATTTTTCTCTTACAGACATGGAGAAGACATGATAGTTACACCGTTTGCACAGGTTAGTATTGGAGTGGGCCTTGAAAATGAAAGCTTGCGTAGTTGGTCTGACATTAATGGGCATTTAGACTTTGCATCATGTGGTTTCAGCTGACCACTCTGTTGAGGAACTTGGTAGTTTGACTTTGCTTCCCTATATTTTAAAGAGAGATTAATCTCCTAATATTTAGAAGTGTCTTTCTTTGTGTAAGTGGAGTGTGCTGCCTTTGGCCTTTGCGGGAACAGCCCTTCTGCACTTATGCAGCTTGCTTTACGTGGGATTTGCGTCACCACTGTACTCGGTTTACAAAACAGGCTAGGAATCCAATAGCGCATTTGCCGATATGGATGCTGACAGATGAGAAATCTGCATGGCTTTGGAAATCAGATAGCCTTCATGTCCTTTTGAAACTCCAAAAGAGCTGCAGAATTTCAGACAAGCCAGACGTTTTACGCAAATGTTTTGTTTTCTAGGTCACCTCTCTATGTAACATTTATTCTCTCTCACTCGCTGCAAAAATCATTTTATTAACCTGTTTTATCTTGTTTTCAAGTAATAGTACCTAAACATTTAAAAAAATACGATGAATGCATTTGAGAAGCAAAATGGCTCAATATGTTAAGAATTTTCAAATTGTTACTTGCTGTTTAAGTTTACTGTTAGACATAATTGTGTGAAATTTAAGTTTAAAGCAATTTATAACATTTTACTATATATGTGTGTGTATATGTGACCCTGGACCACAAAACCAGTCATAAGGGTAAATTTTTTAAAATTGAGATTTGTACATCACTGAATAAATAAGCGTCCCATTGATGTATGGTTTGTTAGGATAGGACAATATTTGGCCGAGATACAACTATTTGAAAATCTGGAATCTGAGGGTGCAAAAAAATCAAAATATTGAGAAAATCGCCTTTAAAGTTGTCCAAATGAAGTTCTTAGCAATGCATATTACTAATCAAAAATGAAGTTTTAATATATTTACAGTAGGAAATTTACAAAATATCTTTATGGAACATGATCTTTACTTAATATCCTAATGATTTTTGGCATTAAAAAAATAGATAATTTTGACCCGTACAATGTATTTTTGGCTATTGCTACAAATATACTCCAGCGGCTTAAGACTGGTTTTGTGCTCCAGGGTCACATATAATAAAAGTATATTTTAAAACAAATACATTTGATCTGTTAATAAAATATACATTTTTCGTATAAATCCACTTTTATTATATAATATATAATATTATAAATTCTTTACTAAATATTATATATTTAATTCTATAAAACAATTAAAAAAAAACTAATATTACAATCAAAAACACTGATTTCTGAAACTTGGGTTGTGATTCTGCACATTCAGCTGTGCTCTTTCATTTAGTCAGGGAGAAGCTCTTGCATTGTTTTTGTCTGAAATTGAGAGGGATGCTTTTGTTGACACTCTATAAATCACAGATGGTGCAGCGTGTTGCTGTGAGGATGTCAGTTTGGGTGTTTCTGATGTCAGTGTGTGTGTGTGTGTGTGGCTCCTACAGTACTACTGTACATTTTGCTGCCTTAATCGGAAGTGCTTCATTCTGAAACCTCGTGTATGATTACATAATAGCACTACACAGATAAAAGGCACTCCTCCTGCTTGGTCCAGCCCCTCATCTTGGGTGACTGTAGCAGCTGAATGAAGGCCTGCTAGCACTCTTAATGCAGTTATATTCAGATATGAGTACCCATGTGATGTTTTACGCCTTGACTTTTCTTAATTAAACATGTAGCACACATATGTAGGATAAAAATGTTTTGATCTCAAAAGATTCATTTAGGCATTGTATGGAAAGGCTCAAATAAATTGTATGGATTTATTCAAATGAAATACAGAGTAGATTGGAGAGGCTGATTCTCAAAGCGTATCTGTTTTGTTCTTGTGTTCTGTTCTGCAGTTCAAAAGGATGCTGAATCGAGAACTAACCCAGCTGTCAGAGACTAGCAAGTCTGGAAACCAGGTCTCAGAGTTCATCTCCAGCACCTTCTTGGGTAAAACCAACTATTTTGTACTTTTTCTAATTTAATACAAATGTTTTTATTTCAAATTACACTATTAGAACAATACAAAAATATTATGATTTGTGAAGTTATTTTATTATTTATATATTATTATAAAATTTATAAATATTTTGAATTAGCTATCATTTTTATATTTTCAGTATTTTAGTAATTTTAAATATAGTATGATGTTTAGAGATGTTATGGGCTTTTGTCATTAGTTTTTTATATTTAATATATTATATGTATATTTTTGTTAACTATTTAGCTTTATTTTTATTTTAGTTTTAGTAATTTTAGTGCTTCAATTTATTTCAGTTAGTTTCTAAATAATTTCTAATTAATATTTGTGTTGTATTTTATTTCAGCTTTATTTTGCTAAAACTGGCAGGACAGTTTGACTTAACATTGTCAATGTTACAAATTTGCTTCAGTTTTGATTAGTGATTTACATATTAACATTTGTTTGTTTTGAATCCCAAAAAGTTTAAACTGCATTTTTTCCCCCAGGTTTTCAATGTGCATTTAATGAGCTGTCTGTCATTGCATGTATAAAAAAATGAACCTGTTTGCAGAGAAGCAACATGATATGGAGATTATGTCCCCACCGACCAAGGAGAAGGAGAAGAAAAAGTGGCCCATGTCTCAGATCAGTGGAGTGAAGAAACCCACGCACAGCTCCAGTGTGGCAGCTTCCAGCATCCCACGCTTTGGCATCAGCACTGACCAGGAAGATCTGCTGGCCAAGGTGAGCTAAAACTCACGGCCAGTAAAACTCCCTATCAGCAAACTAAAATCACCATGGTGAACATGGACTTTATCTGCAGTAATTATAACAAAGCCCAATGCTGTTTTTAACTGCATCCAACTCCCTTTTGCAGGAGTTGGAGGACTTTGACAAATGGGGTGTGGATATTTTCAAGATATCTGAGTATTCTGGCAACCGACCGCTAACGGTAGCAATGTACACAATCTTTCAGGTATAAAATGTGGAATAAAAACACCTTTCTCATGTAGTTTTGGTCAAACCATTACAATAACAAATGTCTTGAACCTGTAATCCACGCACAGGAAAGAGACCTGTTGAAATCCTTTAAAATCCCTGTAGACACATTCATTACCTACATGATGGCATTGGAGGAGAACTACCACGCAGATGTAGCATACCATAATAGCATCCATGCAGCTGACGTGGTCCAGTCCACCAATGTCCTGCTGTCCACCCCTGCCTTGGAGGTTTGTCTCAGTCAACTCCCCTTTCATCATCTGCTCATTAGTCTCTGAAGCAAGATGTTTCATATTTGCAATTCTGATTTGCTAGGCGGTGTTCACCGACCTTGAGATCTTGGCCGCAATGTTTGCTAGTGCAATACATGACGTGGACCACCCTGGAGTGTCCAACCAGTTCCTCATCAACACAAGTGAGTGGCCGCGGCAGAGCAGCAGTAACTTGTCATTGTGGTCACACACTGTGTTGTTGACTGAGAAGGTAATACGTTTCTTCAGACTCAGAGTTGGCGCTCATGTACAACGATTCCTCTGTTCTGGAGAACCACCACCTGGCTGTTGGCTTCAAACTGCTGCAGGAAGAAAACTGTGACATTTTCCAGAACCTGATCAAGAAACAGAGGCAGTCGCTGCGCAAAATGGTCATTGACATGGTGAGGAAATGGAGACAATGACGAGTCTGTGAGGCAATGATGAAGAGGTCCAAGTCTGAGAACTACAACCAACACGTGGTTTTGTTTATTTACCGTGCATTTGACTCTTTATAGGTCCTAGCCACTGATATGTCAAAGCATATGAACCTGTTAGCGGATCTCAAGACCATGGTAGAGACCAAGAAGGTGACAAGTCTGGGCGTGCTGCTGTTAGACAACTACTCTGATCGCATTCAGGTATATTTTGAGCTTCTGTGGAGCAAAGCGGTTTTATATGGTTAGAAATTAATTTTTGCTTCATAAGTAAGAAGTTTATCATTAAAAATGTGTGGTTAATCAAATGCTTAGGTTCTTCAGAACATGGTGCATTGTGCTGACCTGAGCAACCCAACAAAGCCCCTGGAGCTGTACCGTCAGTGGACGGATCGCATCATGGTGGAGTTTTTTACTCAGGGGGACCGAGAGAGAGATAAGGGTATGGAGATCAGCCCCATGTGTGACAAACACAATGCTTCCATTGAGAAATCACAGGTGAGTGAAGGAAAATGATAAATGATATGCCACAAACAGGCCTTGAGGACTTTGGGCCTCATTCCATCATTTAGAATAATATAATATAATATTGAAATTAACAAAAACAAAAACTTAATTAAAATTAAAGATGATATAAAATATAAATATTAAATTAAAAATTTAAACTTAATAAAAATAAAATGTCAGTTAGAAAAGTTGCCACCTTAGCCAATTTAAGTTGAAATACAAAATTATTCAAACTAAATTTTAAATTAAAATAAATTCAAGCAAATATTAAAAAATAAAACTGATAAAATTACAAAAGCATAACAACATTTCTAAGTCTAAAACTAATAAAAGAAAAACTGATTTCAGATTGCAATTAAAGTTTTGAATTTAATTTCAGATTGCCACTCTGGAGCACCATATTAAAAATAAATATGTATGTACTCATATATACTAAGACAGACAGACCAATAGATAGATAGATAGATAGGATAAAAATGGATACAGTTATATATATATATATATATTGATATGCGATTATGTAAAATTTGTATTATAAAAGTAACAATAATAATTTATCATCATGTAATACCTTATATATATATATATATATATATATATATATACACACACACACACTAATAATTAACTAATATCTAATGATAAATGAATAAATAAACAGATTTACCAATTATTAGTGTTTAAATCCACTGTTGTAGAATGACAAGTCAAACTCATATTTACTGCTCATTCCTCGTCCATCAGGTGGGCTTCATTGACTACATCGTGCACCCGCTATGGGAGACCTGGGCGGATCTGGTTCACCCTGATGCCCAGGAGATTCTCGATATGCTGGAGGACAACCGTGAGTGGTACCAGAGCATGATCCCTCACAGTCCCACCTCCACCCCTAAGGACAAGGACAGTGTGGTCGGGATGGGAGCAATGGGTGGAAGTATTGCCTCGGCAGGGGAGAAATTCCAGTTCGAACTGACCTTAGAGGAGGAAGGGGAGTCTGATGTTGAGAGTCCCGTGGACGAAGAGTTCACTTCCACCGTACAGGATTACTCCAGGACAGATCCAGAAGGCAAACATCCGTCTTCAGCTCCCCGCACACAGCAAGCCAACCTGACCGCTCGCTCCCCTGGCTGCAGGACAATGTCTTTTAAGATGGGCGAGCCGCCAGACAGTGAAGATGAAGATAGAGAACTTGACCAAGAAGGGAAAAGCGTGTCTTGCCTGCTTCTGGGAACATAACACTAGTGCACTTTTTAATTTCATTCTATTTTCTTTTTTCATACCTCTTCCTCACCACCTCCCTATCCCTCTTCATCCCATTCTTAGCTTCCTCGGGCGGAGGCGACGCAGTGCAGGAGAGCAAAGGAGAGGTAGGAAAGCTTCCACGGGACGTTTTTTTATACAGTAGTCACCTTGCACTGGAGAAAGCTCCTACTCTACGGACTGTCAAAGCATGAAGCTTTCTTAAAACATTCTCGGTCTTGTGACTTCGGGATGCCATTTGGCTTTACTGTCAAGCGTAAAACTGCCTATGTGTTATGGACTGAGAGGAAACGTCCTCAAGTGTCTTCCTGTGACATCCCAGGTTTAAAGTTAACGAACAAGTGGAGCCGTCCGAACATGATTGATATACAGGACACTTTTTATGTGAGACGTATGTGCACTAAAATGTTTTTTTTTTTTTTTAAATACACTGTTGACTTAAAGCTGGTCTATTATTAGCTGAACAAAAACAACCTAACCGTAACACACCAGAACATCTCAGGATTCAAAGAAACGTTCATGTAGCAAACAGCTAGAGGGTACCCACATAGTGACCGCCGTCTTCCTCGGATCACTATAAAATCTGTAGACTGAAGTCGAGTCATGATTGTGATCTTTTGTGTTTGTATGTGATGCCACCTAGTGCTTAATAGTGGAACTGGAGCAACGTTTATAGGGTTTACCACTCCAGCCGAACACAGTGGCTCTGTATTGTTGTTCCTTTGCACAGATTATAATCATCAGACCGTTTTAACTTAAAACCCTTCTCCCTTTAGTTTGTAGGAATGCTGCTTTAATTTATGGCATGCACATGGTTTACATATGCTTCGTTTATTTTTCGATTCTGCTTCATCCAAAGCATGAGCGTAAGCATTATTACATTGTATGTCACTGTTTTAAAATGGCTTGTTTCTGATGTTCTAGGTAGCACTTCAGTAGATGCCAAACGTTGCTCTATCAGTAAGGGCTGGAGTCATTATTAACATACAGAAGACTAGGATTCGCTGTGATCTGCAGGGTAACCAGCATGTGTACACACCCTGTATTTAAGTTGTGTCTCTGGAAGGCTGGGCTAGCTTGGAAAACCACATTAGCTGTATAGGAAGTGATCGGGGTCCTTAAACCACATGTGTACTTTCTCTCTCTTTCTGTGCTGGTCACACTGAAAAATATGAGGTGTCTTAACGTCTTTACAGATGTATGATGTCTAAACAAAAGTGAACAGTTTTGTTCTAAAACGAGAGCTGTGCGCTACAAGATAACACGTAAAGCCAAAGATAGTTTTCTGTGCCAGGCCTTTATTGTGTCCTTTGGTTTTTGGTGATTGATCAGTGCTCTGCTCTTCACAGGGACATAGCCAATGACAGTACAAGTGCCAAGCAAGCATGATCCATGCTGTACTGTAATTTCCATTTTGCCACTGGCTAATTTCCATCAATGACATTTTCTACTGTCAGTAACGTACTGATTTGAGCATTTAGTTTTCTTTTAATTGTTCATTCAAAACTGTCGATTTGTCAAGCTGAAATTTTATTTAATAACAGGTTTCAAGTCTTTCTGACTCAGTGTGCTCATTGTAAGTCAGATTATCTGTGTCCTTTTTATACCATGGTATGAATTTTAATATTGGATACAGTGAATTTATGTATGTAAATGGATTACAGTAAACGGGGCTTTTAATTAGTGACTATCTTAATGTCTGTCTGCTCTTTATAGCAATGTTTTGTGTGGTGAGAGAAATGCTGAGTGGCCATGCAAAGTTTCAGCTGACTGTATCCACATGGCACACCTCGGTTTGGTCTTTATCTGGCACAGATCTGACAATCCCAACAGTACTGTTTACCACTACAACGCTGTTACTAATGATGCTGTGATTGTTTTCCTGTTCCCAATACCAATAAACCAAGAAATATTAGTAAGCTGGACTCATTTGTGTTATGTGGAAATCCATTTCCACCACATAAGAATTTATTTATTTATTGGCAAGTTAGAAAATTAAAAATAAATAAGATGAGTTTACGATATATACATCATAATTCTGACAGTCAATTTTTGTTTGAAAAGTCGAAATAATGACAGTTATAATTATGATATAGGCCTACTGTAAATGGTCAGATTTATGGCATAAAAAAAATTCAAATTATGACAAAAAACAATTATGACATGAAAAATTAGCAAAAATTACAAAATTGATAATTATGACAAAAGTCTAAATTATGACTGTTTATCTCAACATTTCTATTTCTCATGATTTATACATTTTGATTGTCATTATTTTGACTTTGGAAGTATGTCGTTATTTCGACTTTTCATATAATTATTTCGACGTTATGCCATTGACGACAATTTCATAGTTGTGTCAATTATCTTATAATTATGACTTTATTTCATAATTATGACTGCGGTATGATTTCATCATAATTTTAATTGATTTTTAATCTCATAAAGATGACTTTCATCTGATAATTGACTTAGTATGTCAGTTTAGACCTTTTCACTTGTCATGAAAATGCAGTTAAGATTTTTTATTTTATAATTATGACTTTTTATTTCAAAATTATGACATTATTTCATTGAAATTATGAAATGTAAGAAATTATTACTTAAAAGGGGATCCACAGTATTAATTTAAAACATCTAAAAAAAAAATAGCAAATGCTCTTGTTGCTTCATGTATTATTCTAGAAGACCGCTAATAAGTCGCTACGGTGACGGAGCGGACGTGTAATTGGTTAATCCACATGTCAGTCATTGTTTAGCCCCGCCCCCAGCTGGCTCCAGTCAACTGACGAAAGCACGAGTACAGGTGCACACGCTGGGAACTGCATCCAAACTACAGCAAATAAACCTCCTGTTAAGGTAAGCTGGGCTTTCTCTAAGAACATCATGCCGCTTCATCTTGCATGTATTGCGAAAGAAGTCGAAATAAATGGTTTTAGTTTAAAAACAGCGTAACCTTCATTTGACATCGCTAACTGGGATGGCTCATAAACAGCCTCTGCTATATAATCCATCGCTGCATGCTACAAACTAACATGTCAACTGGCTTTTGACACTCAGCACATTGTCACCGGCAGTTATGGTGAATACTGTCTCTGTGATCGATGGGACCCGAGTGAGTCTCTCACTGACCCGAATAAAAATGGAAATCAGTCCGTGTGTTAAGCGGATAGATGCTAACCGGAGCTCAACTGACTTAACCACTATCAGCCCTACAGCAGCCAGGAGTCTCGCTCTCACAGGCTGCCATTTGTTTTAAACGTCTCGATTGGACAACTAGCTCGTGAAAGTAGCAGCACCTCTCATACGCAAAGGTTCCTTGATCTAATCTGGTACGCCTAGCCCGAGCCATATTTCTTAATTAAGCCTTGATGTGTGCCTGAAATGGGCTGCTCAGGTGGCCTAACAAATAACAGACTGAACAGAGCAGGAATGACCATGCAGGGTTTGGTTTGTCTCTATATGAGAAAAGAAACAACTTGGTCTTCTATGATCAAATGGGAATATTAGAATAATCTTCTCCTGTTATTGTTGGTGTGCTCAGTTCCTGAGCTAAGCACAGGGTTTAGCCGGCACAAAACCTTTAAAATCCCTGGCTACACTGACTTCCTAGCTCAATCCAGGAGGATACAGGGATAGTGCAGGCTACACGCTCTATTCACTTAGAATTTGTGTTGTGATTCATCTAACAGGCTGTGAATAAGAAAACATTTGTTTCAACACATTGCCAGAAACAGTTTCTGACTCCACTGAATAGTGTACAGTATAAGAATAATCAGCCTTGTAGTTATGTCAATTTTCCTATCTGATTGCTTCTGCGGTGAATGTCTGGGAGAATACATGGAGCAACCATCTAAAACCTTTTCATTTTTATTATAGGTTTGTTACAGCTGTTCATTTTTCAATGCACATGAATAAAGAAGGCTTTTCTCATCCCGAAAGTTAGTGGTATTTTAACTTATGCACTTATAAGAGAAAAAAAACAAATAAGAGATGTTGCATACACACTATACTTAGCTGGGTATCCTCTAAAAAGATTTAGGACTGAGACTTGAACACTTCCCATTATTAATTGACTGTCCAAAAAAAAAAAAGTGATCATTACATTTTTACTTTAATTCTAAGACCATGGAACAAGAACACTTAAAAAAGGTTATGTACAGTACATGTAACCTGAAACATGCACTAAAGATGGGTTTTTGCTCCAAGGAGCTAGGGCCTAAACCAAGATATTGAGGTTTCCGTAAATGTATAACTGAACATTTGTTTGAAGTCAAGACAAAGTAAGCCACTGTATTTAAACCAAAGCTGTGTCCAAAATAGCATACCGTTTAGTAGGTACGTCATTTGGTGTGAAACTTGCTTCACAACTGTTAAAAATGTTCTACTGTATGAATAGGAGTATGAATGAAATTTAGAACATCTGCCATGTTGTTACTGTCACATGATTAGCATCAGTTGTAGTAGTATAGGTCAGGGTTACTCAAATCTTACCCTGGAGGTCCAATGCGCTGCAGAGTTTAGCTCCAACCCTGATCAAACTCAGCTACCTGTGATTTTCTAATGATCCTGAAGACATTGATTAGCATGCTCAGGTGTGTTTGATTAGGGTTAGAGCTAAACTCTGCAGGAAAGTGGATCTCGTGGGCCAGATTTGAGGATCCCTGGTATAGGTCGTAGTAGGTCAAATATATACATACAGTCATGGCCAAAAGTTTTGGCAGTGATATAAATTTTGTTTTGCAAAGTTTGCTGCTTAAACTGTTGTGGTGTTCATTCACATTGTTTCTAGGTTATTGTGTAGAGCAGTGTTTCTCAACCCTGGTCCTGGGCGCCCCCCAGCACTGCACATTTTGTATGTCTCCCTTATCTGACACCCATTTCAGGTCCTGGAGTTTCTTTTAATGAACTAATAAGTTGAATCAGGTGTGTTTGATTAGGGAGACACAAAATGTGCTGTGCTGGGGGGTGCCCAGGACCAGGGTTGAGAAACACTGATCTAGATAGATTACATCTGGGGGAAAATAAAGGATGTGATGTTCAGAACATGGTAACTATAGTAATTATCACAGTGGGAAGTGATGCCCTCTGGAGGCATTTGGCCAGGGGTGTTTTTACACCACAGACAAGCTTTAAGAAGAAAAAAATCCTTATGAAAATATAATTATATTTTCCTTAAAATGTTCTTCCTAATTTCAGGCCTTATTCTCATGTCATATGTAATTTTGATGTTCTGCAAAAATCAGATGGTCAGATCTGTTTTCTCTCAGGTACATCGCAGTGTAAGCTTAAAAAATGAACTTTTCACAAAAAAAAAAGTTTTTTTGTGAAAAGATCCTGACACAAAATGACCAGCTAACATTAATTGACTAATCCTATGACCAGCACATGTGAAAGTGTGAATGAGTACTAGTCAGGTAAAATCACTATCATACTCATTAGATTATAAGAGCAGACTGATTGCTATAAAAGGAGGGAAGAAGTGCTTCCAATCATTGTGTTCTTGTTAGCAATGGTTACCTCCAAAGAAACATGTGCAGCCATCATCGCTTTGCATCTAAATGGCCTCACATGCAAGGAAATGGCTACAAAGAATATTGCACCTGAAAGAACCATTTACTGGATCATCAAGAACTTCAAGGAGAGAGGTTCGACTTCAGTGAAGAATGCCCAGAGTGTCCAGCAAGCGCCAGGACCGTTAGCTACGGAATCGTGTCACCAGCAGTGCAGAGCTTGCTCAGGAATGGCAGCAGGTTGGTGTGAGAGCATCTGCACACACCGTGAGGCCAAGACTTTTGGACAACAGGCCGTTGTCAAGAAGGGCAGCAAAGAAGCCACTTCTCTCCAAGAAAAACGTCAAGGAACAGACTGAAATTCTGCAAGAAGTACAAAGATTGGACAGCAGAAGTGCAAAGTTATTTTCTCTGATGACGCTCCCTTCCGACTGTTTGGGGCATTTGGAAAATTGATTGTTCGGAGAAGAAAAGGTGAACGCTACCATGAGTCCTGTGTTGTGCCAACAGTGAAGCATCCTGAGACCATCCATGTGTGGGGGTACTTTCCAACCAAGGGAGTGGGCTCCCTCATAATTCTGCCCAAAAACACTGCCATGAATAAAGAACGTTATCAAAACGTCCTGCAAGAGTGACTTCTTCCAACGATCCATGAGCAATTTGGTGATGATCCGTGCATTTTCCAGCATGATGGAGCACCATGTCACAAAGCAAGAGTGATAAAGAAGAGGCTCAAAGAACATTACATTTAAATTTTGGATCCGTGGCCAGGCAAGTGCCCTGATCTCAATCCCATAGAGAACCTGTGGTCAGTCCTCAAAAGGCGAGTGGACAAGCAGAAGCCCACAAATTGTGATCAACTCCGAGAACTAATAAGGCAAGAATGGATCGCCATCAGTCAGGATTTGGCCCCGAAGCTAATATCCAGCATGCCAGAGTGAACTGCCGAGGTTATAAAGAACAAGGGTCAACACTGAAAATATTGACTCATTTTATTTTTTTGCCAATAAAAGCCTTTAAAACGTATGATATGCTTATTGTTTTTCAGTATACTATAGAAACATGTGGAAAAATAATCTACGAATACTGAAGCAGCAAACATTGCAAAACACAAAATTTATGTCACTGCCAAAACTTTTGGCCATGACTGTACTATTTTCTCATACTGTTTTCGACTACTACCCTATATATTATGGAAATAGGCATATTCAGTCGCAGTGTAAGTACATTTTTAAAAATGGTGATTTTGCAATACAATATATAGAGGTGTAATCACTTTTGTAATCACAAGTTAGGAAAATGTAAAAATTGGTCAAGCAACCTCAATTGGTTAGTTGGACCACTTGAGATGAATTGACACAAATATGTCATGTTATAGAAATAAAATGTTGACTTGAAAAGTGTTAAAGTTGGCATGAAAAGAAAAAGCACCCTATCTATTTTCTAAATGCGTGTTATAGATCTTATTGTGAAGAATTCATCCGTGCATATGTGAATTTTATTTTATTTTTTTGGTTATGTTTCATCACAATATCATAAGCGAACCTTCCGGTGAAAATGTCAGACTTCTCTCTGGTGTCATATGCAGGACTTCTCCAATAATTTAATCTGTAATCTGCCCCTGCAAGCTCATGTTCATCTGAATGCACTTTTGAGTGCAACACCCACATCTCCATACCCAGTCAACAACCAGTGCAAGTCCTTGCCCTACATTTTGCCATAATCCATTACACTTGAAAGTACATCACAGTATGGAAGAAAAGATCTATCGCTACTACTAAAGTTTCATCACAACTTTAACACAAATAGAATAGCAATTCTATAAATCACCTTGGCACTGAATCTCATTTATTGTTGCAGATGGCTTCAGCAAATGATGCTCGATATGGACAAAAAGAGTCTACGGATCAGAACTTTGACTACATGTTTAAGATCCTGATAATTGGTAACAGCAGTGTTGGCAAAACCAGCTTCCTGTTCCGCTATGCCGATGACTCCTTCACACCCGCTTTCGTCAGCACTGTCGGCATAGACTTCAAAGTGAAGACCATCTACCGGAACGACAAGAGGATAAAGCTCCAAATATGGGTGAGAAGTTTTATCAAATGATCATTTTGAGGTTTAATTTCTTCTAGAATCTTGAGTTTTGTGTTAGAGCAATGATTCTCATTGATTTTGATTAAGGAGTTTTTTTATTGATAGAACCATCAAGACATTTTCACTCCAACTACTGTATATTTCAGGACACTGCTGGGCAGGAAAGGTACAGGACCATCACCACAGCGTACTATCGTGGAGCAATGGGCTTCATTCTGATGTATGACATCACCAACGAGGATTCCTTTAATGCCGTTCAGGACTGGTACGATAGTGCTTATGTTTGTCTGTGGCTCATAAAATTCATATGCAAAGATGTGACTCAGTTTCTGTCAAAACGCAGGGTGTCCTGAGAGAATGCACTATATATTTGCAACACCCAGGTGTAATGTGGTATGATTCCAGTGATAAGTAATTTACCCACGTTGAACACGAAATTGCTACAGAACATGACACAATCGCAACATTCAAAATCAGTCTCATCGGTCAAAAGTCAACATGAAATTAATCTTCACATTATTTTCTGAATGCATGTTACTGTTCTTACTGTGAACAGTTCTTCTTTGTATATGTTGATTTTTTTTTTTATTTGACCTCCTAATTTTTGTAATCAAAATTTCACAAATCAATCTTAGAATGAAAATGATAGACTTCTCCAATCATTTAGTCCTACTTAAACCCACCTCTCCACAATCAGCTGCAAGCTTGCATTCATCTGCCTCCACTGAGCACATCTAAAAATCCACTGAACAACTGATGGATAGAACCGAGTCCCTATTCTACTTTTTTGATAATTATTTACATGCAGATGTACATCACTATATGAAAGAAAAGATCTGTTGTATTTCCGTTTCATCGAGACTTGTATATATTTCTATGTGGAGTGGATCTTTGGACCAATAAGATTTCAGGATGGATGGGGCTAACTGGCACAATATCACAGAAATAAAACCAAATGACAATAAACTGCTACTGCTGCCACTTTTAGTTGTTACAGCTGTTTAGGGCAAAGACTCAGTTTTACATGGAAGTAATTTTTATACATATATATATATATGTATAAATATATTATTATTATTTTTTTTTTATTGAGCAGCTTACAGTGTCCGAGGCATACTTCCCATAATCTTGTATTTAAATCTCATCTCATATTATTATTTTTAATAAAAAATATGTAATTTATTTTTAATTAGTATTACATTTCTTTAATTCTTTAATTAATTTATTAAATTGATTTTTCTTAATGACCCCTTTACTGCTTTTAGGTCCACACAGATTAAGACATATTCATGGGACAATGCTCAAGTGCTGCTGGTGGGAAATAAGTGTGACATGGAAGACGACAGAGTGGTTGCTTCAGAGAGAGGAAGACAGCTGTCTGAACAGCTAGGTGGGTTTTCCACTTGATTGGTGTATGTGTTCTGCATTAGATTAAGAGGGCTACTGCTATACGTATAGAACAGGCTGGACATCTGAAATGTCTCACTTTTATAAATCACAGAGTTGTAAACACAAAGGGGGATGAATGTTTGAAAACCTCATGTTTGTAGAAGTACTATGTGTTGATTTTCCTCTATGCAATTTAGAAGCTTTGTTATACCAAATAGTCACTGGATATTCAGGGATACGGTTTTGTAAGGTGTGTAATTGACCATTTATACCCTCCATTTATATCCTATCCTAAACAAATGGCAAACCACTGGGATCGACTTTTTTTATACAGAGAAATTTGTCACATTAGTATGCTTTGTATGCAGAGTGATCACTGTTAAAGTAGAAGCCATAAAATTTTATTTTATTATTATTTTTTTTTTTGTATTTTGGCAGTTTGAGTTTTGTTTGTTTGTCTTGTAAATTGTACAGTAGTTCTTCAGTTCCCACTCTGACTTATGCCATTTTAAAAAATAACAAAATAAAAAATTACAAATAGGTTTGAAGTGATGTTCATCTTGTAATGCTGTATTTCACCTTGGGAGATAATGGTGAGAATAAACCACTGTATTAGCAGCTGATATAAGCTGGACACTCATTGCCATGAGGTTTTTTTGTAATTTTATTTATTTTTTGAGAATCAAGTCACCACATGCATCTGTTTATTGAGTTAAATAAAAAGCTGTGTTTGAAATCTTTTGTGGCTTATTGCTGTCATTGGGAATGACCTCTGACCTCAGCTGAGATGTAATCAGGGCTGCCACTGGTCAAAATACAATTAAATGTAGTTATACTAACATAACCTTAAAGCAATGGTTCACCAAAAAATGAAAATTTGCTGAAAATGTATTCACCTTCAAGATCACGGGATGGAATATTTTACTGGAGAAAGCATTATTATGGATTATGGACTGGAAAGGTAAAATGCCTTGATGGATTTGTTTCTTGGAAACACAGATTTTATAATTTATAATTAATTTAATAATTATAATTTAGCA